ATTAATACTCTTATGTCAAAGTATTATTTAGTGTAATTATGGAATGTAACTTTATATGTTATAAGCTTTAGGAACATGGTAGTTGTTCTTGTGTACTACGATAGTGCACTGGGGTTATTCTGTATAATTCATGGGCACCAAAAGTGATATTAGAGAAGTTAAGGTTATAACAAAGGTTTCATTGTATAGTGAAGCTCTTTTAGTAACTCTGTTGACTTCTGTATTCTGTATTTTCATGATGTGATGGGGTGTACCTGGTCTTTGCTGCTCCCTGCAGGAGGCCCCACAGTCTTGCTACACTCTGCCCCAGAAAAGGAGCAGCAAAGGTAGGTCCTCCAGGCCTGCCTGTTGAGGGCTCCCAGGGCCTAGGTAAAAGGAACTGCAGGGTCTTAGCAGGTCAGTTCCTGGCTGGGACCGTGGGGTGGGGTACGGTGCAGTGCAATGCTACTCTTTGGCCAAAGAGGCTTGAGTTTGGTTCTGGCTGCATCTGCATAAGCTGGGAGAGAGAGGACCTGAGAACTTTATCCCTGAGGTAAGGGGGGAAGATAAAGGGGCCAGGTGGGAAAAGGCCCAGGTAAGAAGAAGCAACAAATTGAAGTGAGCACTACGTTGCTTCTATTTATAGAATCCCTGGTTTGGAACCCAGAGGAGTTGGTGGGCGGGCTGACTTCCCCCGCTAGCCACTGGTGAAGTGATGTAAACCCTGAAAAGGGGACCAGACTCATTTGAATGCCTGAGCTAAAGGCTGAATTTAAAGAGTCCAAAGTTGGGGCTGAAGACCCTGGTGAGGGCAGATAGACAGTTTTGTTGGGCTTGTATGATCCCAGAAGGGGTTCATTTGGACTTTGTGACTTGGGCCGAGGGTCAAATCACTGAAGATCCCACCAAGATTAGCTGACAACCTACAGAGGGCAGCAGGAGCAGGAAAAGGACTGCAGTACTGCATTCAGCTGCAAAGATGTGCTCGAGGTGAGTGCCCCCGTTACATATGGGTGTACCTGAAAGCAGAATTTACTCCCCCGGGTCTCTGTTTTATGGGTAATTTTATTTCTGTTTCCATATTTATTGGCTTCACCGATTTTCTTGTTTTTGTCTTTTTTTGCATTCCTTTAACTAAAAATAGATTTATTTTAAAATAACATCTTGCAGGATTTTCCTAATGATCCTTTCTGTATTTAAAAAACTAACAACAATGTAAAAGCAGATTTGTTCATGTATATAAGGCAGTACTGTTCTTGCCAAGAGGCTGTGCATCACAAGGCGTTTTAATGCACAGTGTCCATTGGGAATCTGTCATTCCATCACAGCCCATATACACATTGTGCACTACTTAATACATGCAGAAATCATACCCCCAAATGGCTCCTGTCCCTATGCACGAGGACTACTATGGGTTGAATGTCCTGTGTGTGATATGGAGAGGAACAAACACACAAATTTATGGCCAAAATAGACTGGAAGGAGGCGATTGGAGGCTACACACCCTGATGTTGTTTGGGGTGGAGACTTTATTTTCCAATATGTCTGTACAGCACCTAGCACATCTTGAATATAATTATTAATAAATTCCCACTGCTCCTGAGCTGGCAGCAGCTCCTCTATAGCTATCTTTGTGTAGGTGAGACTTTGTGTGTTTTGGGGGTGAATGTGGCTGAATGGAAGGAGTTGGAGCCAGGAAACAGGCACTGTAGAGTGTTTTGGGTTAATTTGGCCATATTTTACTAAAAAAGTCTATTTTGAGGTTAAAACACTCTGTTCTTGTACTCAGTATGGAGACTGAAACCCCAAAGCATGATCTTTTGATAGTTTAATTAGAGAACCCCTCTTTATTCAAACCGTTTACAACCAAGAATTCTTGGGTAAAGACAAACAAAAAATAATGATAAGAAAACAGGAAAGAAATAGATTAATTTGTTTTCTGTCTGATGGTTCAGTTCCTTCATTCTTCAGCTATCTCTTCCTCTTGGATAGCAGTGGAGGCAGCGGCTCAGGTGTTGAGAATGTCAGATCCAGTTAACTCTCACTGCTGTGTGCTCTTTTTAAATCTGCAATACTAAGCAATTGTTCTCTGATTCTTACAGAGTTCTAAGAATATTAGCCCAAGTGAATTGTTTCTGTTTAAATCCAGTAGAGACCTGGATAGGTGTATTAAATGTATGGCTACAAGACCCCAGCAGCATAAATCCTCTAGGCCCCAAGCCAGTGGGTTTTGTTTTGGGAGGTTTTTGTTTGGGGTGGTGGAATCTCAAAAAGAAAAATAGGACAGCCTCAGATAATGGAGGGAAAAATGTGGCTGTCAAAGAAAGAGAGAGAAAAGGACAGAAGGCCGTTTTGTGGATCCTTGGGACAGCAAATATGTTCCTTGTTTACATATTTTAAGGTACATTACAAACATTATTTTTTGGATAGTTGGCCAAGCAACCAAAGGCCGTACTTGATGATGTTTCTATTTATCTGTATGTAACATGATGCTTTTGAATGCTTCATCTGATCCAAATTCCAAAACGTCATGGATTTCATCTTTAAAAAAAAACAAAAATTGGAAAAAGTACAGAGAAAGGCAACAAAAATGATTAGGCGTATGGAACAGCTTCAATATGAGGCGAGAGGGGAAAAAAGACTGGGCCTGTTCACCTTAGAAAAGAGATGACTAGGAGGGGATATGGTAGAGATCTATAAAATCAGGAATGTCGTGGAGAAAGTGAATAGGGAAATGTTATTTACCCCTTCATGTAACACAATAACCAGGGGTCACCCGTTCAAATTAATAGGCAACAGGTTTAAAACAAACAATAAGAAGTATTTCTTCACACAACACACAGTCAACTGTGGAACTTTTTTGCTATGGGATGTTGTGAAGGCCAAAAGTATAAATGGGTTCAAAAAAGAATTAGACGAATTCATGGAGAAGAGGTCCATCTATGGCTATTAGCCAAGATGGTCAGGGATTTAACTACATGCTCTGGGTATCCCTAAGCCTCCAACTGCCAGAAACATCTGTTTCTGACAGTGGCCAGTGCCAGGATACTGGACTAGATGAACCATTGGTCTGTTAGTCTTATGGAATGTTTTGGGCATCTGGTTCCTGGCATGTGGCAGGAGAGAATGGCGACCGGGGGGCAGCGGGACAGAACCCCTGGCATCAGGGAGAAGATGTAGGGGTGTAGGGACTCTCTGAAATAGAGAGAACTGGAAGGTGGCACACCAGGAGATTGTAGGGGGAATGGCAGGAGGCCTTTGTGTGTGCAATGAGTTTGGTCTACAGTAGCAACTAAGAGTACGTCTACATTGCTGCTGGGAGCATCCTTCACAGCCCAGGTAGATGTGGATGTTGCAGCATGCATGGCTGCTTTGGCTAGCTGCCCATGTCTGACTCCCTGGCTGTGGGCTCAGATGGCTGGCCCAAACCACTGCCCAGGTCACAATGTCCACACTGCTATTTTTAGCACACTAATTCAAGTAGAGATAGCATGAGTCTGTCTGCCTGGGCTGGAGGAGACACTCCCAGCTGCAATGTAGACACACCCTACATGTGCAACCCTCTAATAAAGTAAAGAGCACTAGCCATGAGTGTGTTGAAGACAGTGAACATCAATAAAGGAGTCTTCTAAAATCAGCAAAACTCCTTTTACCAGAAGTCTTTTCTTTCTCGCTTCATTTAAATTTAACACTGCTGACATGTCCCATTCATCTCAACATTATCTTGTACCTCCCTCCCACCCCACCCCCCATGAGAGAACTGATGCAGAGTGTAGTGCCTCTAAATCCAGGGAAATATAATGCTGCTTTAAGCAGCATTAACTTTTGCACTACAGCTCCCTTTCCTGTCCCACACTGCCTCATTGTTGGACATAACCACAGCAGGAATCTTAAAGCAGATGGGTGGAATAAGGGAGCCCAGGACAACATGCAGAGGGATAGGTATGCAGAGTCCTTCACAGATCTTGGGGTTCTGAACTGTTACAAGGCCATGACTCCTTCCCCTTCCATGCCACCTTTAATTCTCTTCCTGAGTGAAAAAATGTGTCATATTTGCTGCTGCATTGAACATGCTGATATTTTATTGAAACTTTTTCCTTTTGGAGCATTTTTCTGTAGAAGGGAATGATGTGACGGGTGTGCTCAGCGTACAGTATAAAGAGTCACTTAATATGAAGCGCCATTGGCATCTCAAGCACTATGTCATGTTAGAAAGTGGGGAAATGATTCCTTTAATGCTTAATTTTTGAAAAGTGTGGGAGGTTTAGACCGTACTCCCGTTAAGTCACTGAAGATCAAGTGCAAACATGATCAAAAGCCATTGCCACATTTTAGATCAGTGGTCCCCAAACTTTTCCTCTCACCCCCCACCCTTACCAGTAATATAATGTGTCCGCACCCCGCCCTTCCCCCAAGCCAGGAGTGGAGCCGGGGCCAGGAGCAGAGCCACAGCTGGGAGTGGGGGCCTGGAGCTGAGAGCAGGGGCTGGCAGCTGAGCCATGGCTGGGAGCAGGGATGCTGCCAGGCCTGGGGGCTAAGCTGGGGCTGCAGCTGCGGCCAGGGGCTGGCCTGGAGTGGAGCTGGGGGCAGAGCGGGGCTGGGTGGTGCTATCTTCCCGCTCCCTCATGGGGGCTGGCCCGGCCCACCCAGGTGTTCTCCATGCCCCCCAAGGGAGGTGTGCCCCACAGTTTGGGGACCACTGTTTTAGATCTACATTGGCAAAGGCAAAAACATTCATAGTTAGGGCTGCCACTGCAGCCTTAACTCATTCCACTGTTGTTAGGTATGAGAGCACATGTGACACATAGCATCATACACTGATCTCCAACTTCTGCAATACCTGCAGTCATAATGGGGTGCAATGGTAGCCCTAGTTCGGAGTGCACTTCTTGAATGTGGGGTTATAAGAATATTTCACGTCAGGGAAAGAATTACTGCTCTAATGTGATGTGACCCTCTCAGCTCCTATTAATGTAGGTGGTGCAGCTCACTGACCATTCTTACAAATATTTCTGCCACAGGATTTAACATCTGCTGGACTATTCTTGCTGTTGGTCCCAGGATTGAACCTTTCTGTGATGATCTTCAGAGCCCACATTTGATGAATTTAAGGTACTGAATAAAACTTTGGGTTAATTTTATAAGGGAGGAGGGAAGGCTTATTAACAAGCCAGTACATGCTTTTATGTTCTGTTCCCTTTCAGCTGATTGGTTTTACCGTGGACAAACCACCAAGGGACCTATATGAGGGGCACCATTATATGTATCTAAATAAGAATGGTGATTTTATTTGACGCTATTACATTGAATTGTGATTTTTGCCTGAAATAATATTTTGTTATTCATCTGACTGTAGTCAGGACTGCGTTTTGCTAATATTAATGTACCACATACATTATTTTGCTGTTAATTGTGAACAGGAATGATCAAAGGCTGAGACAATTTACTCAATTGCTGTCACTGTTCACCCACGTTAATGATCAAAATACAATACACAGAATGCTGCATATATAAATGAGTACAACAGGAAGGATTAACTATATAATTAATTAACTATGGAGAATTATCCTTGACCGAGAATGTTTCTAAAACATACGTGTAAGAGTAGGTAACCACTGAACGTGAACGGCATCCTGATTCTTTAATCTACGCCTGCTATGCAACAGAGAAGCAGGGGTTTTACTTTTACTTTTTGTGAATGCCTCAAGATCTGAGCATGCTCTGTTGAGGCAGGATACAGAGCAGACTGCAGCTCTGTTCTGTGTCTGTTAAGGAAGTGAGCCCCACCTCAGCTAAAATGGGCAAAACATCCCTGGTAAACAGACCATTGGGCAGAGCTTTTCACAATTAGCAATTACTCCATAAACCCGAGCTGGCCACTGCCCAACTTGAACTGAATCCTTATCCTCCCACACCATTTTGTTTAGAAACTATTTTTATTTTTGAACAATAATACTCACTAGCAACACCCATCCTGAAGGACATGGCCTGTTCTTACAGCAATCCCAACTCTTGCATAAATTAGCAATTACCATGCCATCCCTTCTAACTGAAGTGAAACAGGTCTGTAAATGATGAAAGTCAGTGACTAATATTTAATAACCCGTACATTTTAATTAATGAAAAGGGAACAAATTGCTCTACAATGCCGTATTGTTAAGCTCTACCCCACACAAAGGGTTCCTTCCAGTTGTTATGACAATACCTTCTTCATGATGCTGTTCTGGAAGGCAAATGAGTTGGAAATTCATCAATCAGGGGACAGGCTGAAACCTCCAGAAATCATTTCCATTCCCATATTGGACTCAAACTGAGTCCCAGCGACAAAAGGCGAGTGTTTTAGTGTTTTCAGTTTCTGAGAGTGGGATCATGCCGTAATTTCGTTCTAGCAGCTCATCTCCTTTGTCATCTGACTTCAAACTAAGCCTTGAATCCTGCTTCAATAAGTGCTTAGAGCAGGGGACAAGGGTGGGGTGTGGGAGATTTGCGAAAAGCTCTTTGCAGCATTATGAGCCTGGGCTTACTTCCACACTGGCTCAGGCCCTGGTATAATTTAGAACTTGAGCGGGGCTAATTTAAACTCTACCAGCTGCCTCTGGCCCCCCGGGGCCAGTCCGTTAACTGGGGATTGTCAGAGCCCTGTGGTGCAGCAGCCACATGACTTACACCGGGGAGAGCATAGCCAGTTCTATACCACTCAGGGACTCCCCCTCACCAGGACACTCATTAACTGCCTGTTTACACCATGTTTCTACTCTCTTTGTGTTGTGGTAGTGGGGCCAAGGATCTGAGATATGTCCTATTAAAATGGAAAGCACAATACGTGTCAATAACACAAAACATTCTGAGCGATATCGAACAAATTTAAGGGTAAGACTGTGTGAGTCAGGACTGCGTGCATGAGGAAGACTGCTCACATAGGATCGAGCCCTAGCAAGGAACTAGGCTTTGAGAAGCAGAGAGCAATACGAAGCTATAAAAGGTATAAGTCAAATACAAGGGAGGAATGGACAGTTGAGTCAACAATCCAAATTTAATAGAAATTTCTTATCAGTGCAAAGTACAGGACTGTGAGTTCAGTTTTTCTGTAAGTGTTTGATAGTTACATCTTTCAAACTCATTTTGGTTTTGTCATCAGATTGTTACATCACGTCTTGGAGTTTATCTGACACCAAAGGAACTAGTAGCAGAGGGGTGGGTGTGTGTAAAGCAGGTGATCCCTATGAAATTTTAGAAAAGTTTGCACTGTTAAGATTAAAATGATCAGTCTTTCATTCAGAGCAGTTGAATGTGCAAATAACAGATTTAAATAGTATCAAATTTTTCCTCAGGGAGAGAATAACAAGACAATTATGAAAAGAATATTTCACAAGACAGACTAGATCCAAAACTCACAGCAAAGTGCTGGAGGAAATAGTGTGGGGAGCCATCTTTAGTTCTTGTATAAATGTCCCAGAATGAAAAACTTCTGGTCTGATGTTAGAAAAATAATCCAAGAGTTATTTTAGGAATATAGCCTCCAAATTCCTACTTTTAAGGTGTAAATCAAGCAAATGTCTGGATTCACTGAAATAAAACAATGATACTAGTAGATAACTGTTCAGAATTACTGTGACTGTGGCCAACAAATGTATTTCATCACTATGGTTGCAAAAACAAACACCAACCAAAGAATTGTAGTTGACGAGAATAAAATAATTAAGGGAAATGGAACAATTTTACTGCCTGGGTTAGATTAACAACTGAATTATCTGAGGAAAGATGAACAGAGTGGGGTGAACTGGGGTGAACTGGATACAAGTACATCATTTGATTCCTAACCTCAGACCTCACTTGGATCCTCCAGTCTGAAACCACCTCAACCCCATATATGAATGGTGGATGGGAGAGAGTTGGCTCCAGATCTCTGGCTCTGAGCTCAGCTCTACAGTTTGGGGTGTAAATTAGATCCAAAATTGGAAGGGACTTGTTTTCTACGTCTGGTTCGGACGCAGCCCAAGGCCTTGGCTACACTTGCAGATGTACAGCGCTGTGAGTTAAACCTGACTTCGTGCAGCTGAGTAGGGAAAGCGCTGCAGTCTGTCCACACTGACAGCTGCCCAGCGCACTGTCATGGCCACATTTGTGGCAATTGCAGCGCTATTGCTGAGGTGTATGCTGACGAGTCTCGCCAGCACGTCACGTTTGGCTGTCGAACTATTCCTTAAGATCCAAAGTGACAGTGAGAGTGAGGGTGAGGAGTCCGACGATGCTGTCGAGCCGCGTAACGCGTATGACACGAAATTGCTTGTGGCATTCACGGACATGCTCAGCACCATGGAACGCCGCTTTTGGGCTCGGGAAACAAGCACCGAGTGGTGGGATCACATCGTCATGGAAGTCTGGGATGACGAGCAGTGGCTGCAGAACTTTCGGATGAGAAAGGCCACTTTCATGGGACTGTGTGAGGAGCTCGCCCCCACCCTGCAGCGCAAGGACACAAGATTGAGAGCTGCCCTGCCAGTGGAGAAGCGGGTGGCTATTGCAATCTGGAAGCAACTCCAGACAGCTACCGGTCGGTCGCAAACCAGTTTGGAGTGGGAAAGTCGACCGTTGGAATCGTGGTGATGCAAGTTTGCAAGGCCATTAATCGCATCCTACTCAGAAGAACCGTGACTCTGGGTAATGTGCAGGAAATAGTGGATGGCTTTGCACAAATGGGGTTCCCTAACTGTGGAGGGGCGATAGATGGGACACACATTCCTATTCTGGCACCACCCCACCTAGCATCCAAGTACGTTAATCGGAAGGGGGTATTTCTCTATCGTTCTTCAGGCGCTTGTGGATCAGCATGGGCGTTTCATTGACATTAACACAGGCTGGCCCGGAAAGGTGCATGGCGCACGCATCTTTCGGAACACTTGGCTGTTCAGGAAGATGCAGGCCGGGACTTTTTTCCCAGAGTGGAAGATCACGGTAGGGGAAGTTGAAATGCCCATTGTGATCCTTGGAGATCCCGTTTACCCGTTAATGCTGTGGCTCATGAAACCCTACACAGGGAGCCTTGACAGCAGCAAGGAACAGTTCAACTACAGGCTGAGCCAATGCCGAATGACTGTGGAGTGTGCCTTTGGCCGTTTAAAGGGCCGCTGGCGATCTCTGTATGGGAAGCTGGACTTGGCCGAAAACAGCATCCCTGCGGTTATATCCACGTGCTGTGCCCTCCATAATATTTGTGAAGGGAAGGGTGAAAGCTTCACTCAGGCATGGACCTCCAAGGTTCAACACCTGGAGGCTGAATTTGCACAGCCAGAGAGCAGGGCTATTACAGGGGCCCAGCGCAGGGCTGCAAGGATTAGGGATGCCTTGAGGTAGCAATTTGAGGCTGAAAACCAGCAGTGATATCTGGTGCCCTGCACGGGAGTGAAGTGCAGTAGTTCCAATCTTTAGGAATCAGTGTCTGCTTAGCAGACAAGCAGACTTGCAGTGCCTGTTTATTTCCTGGGCTAAGGAGTCTTTTACTTTATGCAATAATAAAGAATGTTTTCAAAGCCAAAGAATCCATTTATTGAAAAGAAAAAAAATATTTATTGAAAAGAAACAAGGGGGTGGAGTGGGGAACAGTACAATCACAGATTCGCATAGGTCCTGTCTGGTGTGCTGTGCAGTGAGTGCTGCACTTCAGGACAGCTATACTGCATGGTGATGGGGGTTGAGTGCAGAGGGTAAGGGTCGTGGTTTTCAGGGCTGGGTGGTGAAGATACTGGTGTTGGAGGCAGCGGGTGGCATGAAGAACACGGAAGTTGGGGAAAGTGGGTTGGAGGTGACAGTGGGGCACAACGGAAAGAGTTTTGGGACAAGGGCTGTAGGGGGGGGTGGCGTTTGCGTTTGTGGTACTGCTCCTCTTTCTGCATGGCTACCAGCTCCTGGATAGCATCTGCTTGGCGCTCCAGGATGCTTATGAGCCTATCAGTGCTTTGCTGCCGGTGCGCAGTGTTTTGCCGCCGGTGCGCTGCGTTTTCCTGGTGGATCCTGCTTTCTCTCTCCCTCCAGTCCTGTGCTTTCTCATTCTCTTTAATAGATTGCCACATCACTTCTTGCAGCATGTCTTCTTTGCTTTTTCACGGTCTGTT